AGAACATAAAATAAATTATCTTATTCAAGTTAATGACACTTGAGAATTAGACATTTTGGTGGACCACACTTCTTTATTTGAACCTCCCTCTCTAATTTTTTTTAAATTAATAAAAATATCAATGTATAAAATCATCTAAAATACTTTTCTGATAGTTGAAAATGCAGATGAATTTCACTGAATATCTTAACTTTCATTAAAAGAAATATCTTAACTTTTATTAAAAAAAAAAACAAATACAAGGGATGACAACAGATAAGTAACCAGCCTGAGAACTGACAATGAAGACATTGAAGTTGTGGATAGCTCTGCTGTTTAGGATCAATTATCAGCAGTAAAAGAACCAGCAGTCAAGAAATATGCCACAGCCAAGCACATATTAAGGTAGCAGTGAAGGCCTAGAAAAATATAGTTAGAAGCCATGATGTGTCTAAATCTACTAAGATCAGAACCAATTGTTTTCCCTATGAATCTCTGTGGAAGCAGAGTAGAAAGAGTATTGATGCTTTTGAACTTTGTTGGAGAAGACTTGAGAATACTTTGGATAGCCAAGAAAACAAACATATGATTTTTAAACAAATCAATTAAGATCTCTCACACAAAGTACACATGACTAGGCTTGTATTACCTTTGTTTGGATACATTAGCAGTGACCCCTTGAGACAACCATAATGCTGGGAAATGTGCAAAGAAAGAGAAGAGGGTGACCAGCAGCAATGTGGATAGACTTGATCACAGTAGTAATAGGTGCACCATCTGCTGAAGGGTCAGACAAGGGACAAATCATCCTAGAGAAAATTTAACTATGTGATCACTAAGAGTTGACACAGACTTGATGGCATATATTCAATCAGGTAGAACCATGCCAACTTGAGTATGAGGTTAATAAATGCAACACAGTACCGATGTTACAAGTTTATTTGTGCTCTAAAAAATATTGGCAGCCCTTCTGACAACTTCTGTGAGTAGCCTTTACAACATCACAAAATTCTTGAGCATCTGCTAAAATGGATGATAAAATTGTCACTGGCCATATATTAACAGGTGCTGTAAAAGAACTCTATGATCAATCATAGTTCCCTCTAGGAATGACTGCTTATATTGTCAGGACCTGTTGTATAGCAGCAGTGCACAATGGGAGTAAGAAAAGTAGATGAAGTAGAGTGTGGTAGGGTGAAAAAAAGTAGAAGGAATGTTGTGTTGCTCCTAATAATGGGAAACAGCAATCTTGATCGCTGAGCAGGCAGTTTACAGTAATTCTCAATCCTATGAGTGATTTTATATACAACAGTGGTTTTAGATGAAAGTACATTCAGTTGAATTCTGTGAAGTATGCATGTAGTCAATTCATGCTGTGTGACTCATCCACTTTGCATATATTCTGAAAAATGCATGTAAAAATGAAGGTGGTACAAAGTGTTCTCAAAATATTCAAGAAACAAAATAAACAAATCATATTTTTGTTAAAGACCAGGGAAAGGAAGATCCTGTCTTGGAAAACCCACAATTCAAACATACCCCTTTTTGTCTTTTTTGAATATAGTACATCATTTATTTATAAGGCTGATGTGCCACCAAGTACCCTTGCATTGTTCTGTCCTCAAAACAACCTGAAAGGAAATGTCCCATAGAAAGTGTGCCAAAAGCCACACAATAAAGCTTTACATTTCCCCATCAAATCTCCTCTGCTTTTGACCTATTGCCTTCTTCCTTTTACAGTCGTCAGCTGTCTTGATAGCTGTATTGAATCATAGTTATTTCCTTTCTAAACAAAATTTGCCCAGTAACCAAGGCCATTATTTACCTAGTCAGAAAAATATAGAATTCAATTATCAGTTGTAAAAAAAAAATATGTTTCTTCCCACATCATCAACCTGCACCTTTCTGACATCACCAAGGGTAGTTCTTCCATCTTTTTCCTACTCTATCTTTGATGAAACATTAATATGTGAGAAAATTAATTGGTCTAAAAATTGCAATCCCTTTCAACAATTGTTCCTTTTATTTTGTTATATAATTGTGATATTTCAAGAGAGGTCTTACAGGATTTTATTGCCACAGCCTTTTTATAGACTAAGTTAAAAGGTCCCAAAATACCCATTTAGAATCTCAGATGACTCTTTGAGAGAACACTCTGGAGAAAAGAATTCTTACAGTATGTTAAGTAAAAGTGTGTTTAGCATGGAAGAAGATTATTTCAGGGATCTCAAATGGTACCACACTCATTTTCATAACTTTCCATGAGTCATTGTGCTACATTATAATGACTACATTATAATACATCTTTGGATTTAGCTAGAATGAGATGAAATATGATTTTATTTTTTCCATTTAACAATGTATACCTCCAAACTCATAACATTTGATTTTATTCAATGTTTGTGATATACATGTACTATAAGTTTGATGATTATGCATATTCATCCATTGATCCCATCCTTTTAAAAGTAGCATTTTCATATTTTATATCACCTTATGTGTTCAAGAATCAACACTGACTTATGCGTCAAGTGGTTTTTCTTTCAGGTGATCAATATATCATAGTTCTCACTTGGCATCCCAAGTTGTTGATGTAAAGCCTATGGAGCAGATTGAGAAAAATTTAATATGCATAAAAAAGCTGAGGAGTGAATTAAAATACATTGTATGTGACAAAAAGGAACTTCCTTCAGTTTATACTTTCTGTTTAGAGAGTTGAAATTGTTGGATGGTCAACAAAACAAAGAATTTTTAAAAATAGAAATGCTTTAATAGTTCTAACCAGTGCTTTTTTTCTATAAAAAAAAAAGTGTCAGAATTCACACATGTCATACAACCTGCCTTGCCTACCCTACAAGGTTCCATCCAAAAAAGGTGCTGGTACTCCGTTCTGGGCGTTCTAGGAGAAAAAAAGCCCTGGTTCTAACAGAAGTGTTTTCATTGTCTTAGTAAAGTTTAAAATGTCCAAATGAGAGCCAACAATGATATCAGAAGAGCGTCAAACTGAAGTTTAGTTATCCTTAAAGTGTTAAAAGTAGCAATAGAATGAATTTGTTGCAGTGCAGAGTTAAATCACGAGCTATCAGGGTCGAGAAATGTTGCTTTTAGTTGGAATTGTGTATTTAATTTTGAAGACAATTCATTTTCATGATGGGGCATTTGGAATTTTGGGAACATGCCATGGACATTACTCAGATTGTTTTCCATGGCAGGCATGACTGATCACAACCACCAAAAGGCAACGTGGCTCTCTGCCACCATCTTGAGCTTCCCAGTTTATCCCAGTACTTCCAGTTTATCTTAAAAAGAAGCAGCCATCTACTATTTTTATTTTTAAAGAATGCCTTAGGTATCTATGTGCATATTGATGGGAATAATGATTGGCATTAGCTGGATGTTGGTCAGAGCTAAGTCAATTTATGTATATCTGCTTCAATATATTTTTAATCAGTAAAAATCATTTTGAAGACTTTGTCCCCATTTACTCATAGGAGCTTTTAAATGTAATTAGGTGGGCAGCATCTGGGAAATCTTTGAACGATGCTTTTTTGTATATTTTTTATCAATTTTTATTTTTTCATGAATCATCAGACAAATGCACACAAATTTTATGCATACAGAAGATGAAGATCTTGACCAGACTGAGTCTTAGTTGGTACTGCAGGAATTAGCTGAAGTGAGAGCACCTAAGAGTCAGCTGATTCAACTGATACTTAGTAATGAATCACAAGCATCTGTTTTCCAATTTATGAATTAGTCACAGCACTAATAATTAAGTGTCTAGAATGGAGAAATAATATTTTTAAAATGTTTTCCAAAATGTATTGACATGAAAACTTACCAAGTGATGGTAAACTTACTTTGTGTTCATTGCTTCCTAATGGTTTGGTAACACATCTTGCAAAACATACTGAACAATTCTTAGAATTAAATCAGAAATGACATTTTCTCTTAATAGTTCCTTGAATTGGCATAGTAAGTGTTTCTATCATAACTAGACTCTGCTTTTCTAACTTGAAAGTGTGTAAAGATAAATGGATTTTCAGATTTTGACTGTTTCCTTTGTGGGTTTGTTTTCATTGTTCAGCTGAAAAAATCACCCAAACATTTTAAGAGGCAATGACTGTAGTAGTAATACTCACAGAAACTACCTCCAGGTTGCTAGTGCGGAAATTGTTCTTGCTTCAAGGCCTTCTCTCAAGTCCAGAGCAAGGAGAGAAATGAGGAAGATATAAACACAGTTCCATGTCCTGCTTAATAGAGTCCTAAAAAGATTAGGAGGGATCATAGGAAGCTATACAAATTCCACAACTCTCTGGGCTAACATTCAAAAAGTAGTGAGGTATTCCTTGCATCTTGGGAAATTGCTTATTGGTCTACATCCTAAGCACCACTACCATAAATAATGCAAGATAATTAGCAGTTCTCTTCCTATGTGCTGAAGATGTGTTTTTTTTTCCTTAGTAGATTATAAACCACTACTCTTCTGCCAGATAAGCAAAACAATAAATGTTCAAAACCAATAAACCTTTGTGGTTTTGAAACATGACTAGAGCATTTGCATTATGAATAGTAATTAACTGACCATTTTTTAAAATAGCTTTTTTCCTCAAAGCCAAAAGACTGAAAAGGAACGATCCTAGATCAGTAAACTGCAATAGTTACCTTCTTTCTATATACACTTATAAAGAGATGCTAAAAGCAAAATGTAACAAGAAAGGACTTCAAAGTGCCATGCTGAGTTGGGTTTGAATTTTATTATTTGGCATGCTTTTATGAGCTACACTGAAGTTTTGTTAAAACAGGGGTCCCAATCCCTGGTCCATGGACTGGCACTGGGCAGCAGCATGCCAGAAATTGGGCTGTGCAACAAGCAAAGTCCTATCCGTGGGATGCAGGCAGCATGCAAAACCACACCCCTCCAGTCCACGGAAAAAACTCTCCATGGAACCAGTCCAAAAGGTTGGAGGGCTGCTGTGCTAAAAAGTAATATGCAAATAATTAAAGTTTTTCTCATTCAGCACTTTCCAGCGGTAAGCAGACAGCTAACAAGATTTGGGAAACTAAGCCATGCTTAGGATGGAACAGAACTTCAAGCCAGAAGATAGGATCATGGAGCAAGTTGAAGGTAATGAACAAAGAAAAACCAAGGACTGGAACATATCAGAGGTCAGGAAGAGTTCATTGCTCAAACAAGGTTTGAATGGGAAGCTCCTGAAACTTCTTCCAGTTCAAACAGTAAGGCTATTTCACCCATAAGACTATGCATGCAATGTGGTTGGGCACTTTATTTCTGAATCAGTGTTTCTTAATCTTGGCAACTTTAAGCTGTAGTGGTTAGCTGGTGAATCCTGAGGGTTGAAGTCCACACAGCCTAAAAGTTGCTGATGTTGAGAAATATTGTTCTGGATTATCATTGTGTTGTTTTTCACTGTTGCTGCTACTCTGTTGCTGATAAATAATGACAGATGTAACTCACATAGGGAAGACTTTGAACACGTTCTAGGCATGGTAATTATTATTAATCTCTATGGAAATCTCAATTTCTTTAAACAATCCTTGAATTGCAAAACACTGATATTTTAACTTGCACAGAATGATTGTATGTAATTAGAGAAATTGTCAAAGTCATGAATTGTGGCAAAAGTGGAGCTACAGGCATTCCACAAACTTCCCTGAAAGCCCATTTTTTTCAGCTGTTTCAGCAATAGGCCGTCATTATATTTCTTGCCTCCATTACTACCAAATTGAATATACTCATATATATATATCTGATGCAAATCTAAAAAACAATAAACAGGAATAATGTTTCTCCCCAGAGTGGAAAAACTGATAATATTTGCACCTATTCAGTGAACAATTTCTAAGTTCCTTCTTTATTGTTAAATTTGACTTGACCTGCATTCCTTTCAAATAAATGATTGCCCTTTTAATGCTGAACGATCCATCTTAAAATAGGACATTTTATCAACAATGCTTTCATATCTTGTTTCCCAAAATTCCCTGCTCAAATCCCTTTTTTAAAAGTAAAATCAAGGAAAACACTTTCAGATACAAAGGAAAAAGAACATAGAATTGGCACCAGTACACATTTACAAAAGCACAGAAGTGTTTTTTGGATCCTGGTTATTCTTATTTAATGATACTCTGTATTGTTATTCTTCAAATAGTCGAAAAGATACTTCTCTAAGTATTCCTCAAAACATGTATTTGTCTGCTTTGATTTTTTTTGACTCACAGGCTTAGATTTTTTTAAAAAGTATTAATTTAATATTTTTATTTCTGCACATTTGGAATTTATCAATAAAGTTTATAAAATATAGAGATAAATAAATGTCTGATCTGGTTTACATCACTGATTCCATCTATGCATAGTGTTTACAGTATTTGACAACAATAATTCTGAATGTTTTGTTCACATGCCATCTATCACTGTTGGGCTGCGGTATTTCCTGATCCATTCCAGATGGAGATGCTGCTGAAACTTCATGCAGACCTTGTGCATATGCAGAGTAAAGGGATGGAAACGTGAGAAAATCCTGCTATGCTACAAAATACATTCCCAGATATAATGAATTATGTGTCACATGCAACCTACAGATCTGCTGCTTCAAAGCATGAATGTGGCCAAGTTAATCGTTAATCAAGTTCATAACAAAACATATGTAACCAATAGAAACAAAGATGTGACTGTTGATGCTCAAGTACCAGAATGAATTTAAAAATGTATGCAAAACTTTCTAGAACAATTCTCCAATGCTATCTTTAGTAAATGATATTGCCACATGATCCTGCAATCCTATAATTACTTACCTAGAAGTGAGTCCTACTGACCTAAACATGCCATATTTCTCTGACATTTTTGTTCATTGTTTTTTTTTTTAATTCAGACCTGACTGGATATTGTTTCTGAGACAATGAATCACTTTGTCTTTCTACTGTGATGTGTTTGTGAGAGATAAAAAGATTCTATCTGTATTTGTTTACTGTGCCTGTATAAAAGATAAATAAATGAGAGCTTTTCTTCTGCATTGTGTCTAGATTACCATTTAAACTTCACTGCAAAAGTGACTCATTTATATAAAATAATTTATATAAAATAAATGGGTGGTTCTGATCATGCAAAACTATTAATTTTAAAAATCTGCATTATCAGAATCACTCCAGGGCAATTTGCAACCCTACTATAACATTTCTTAAAACTAAAATTAAAGATATATATATGGTGAGAAATAAAATGATCACCAGGGTAATAAAACTATAAAATTTATTTAAAAAGCGCCTAGCTTTCGCCGTCACCTGCCGGCATCCTCAGGGCTAGTACGCCAGGGAGTGAGAGAGTCACTTTTATAGATGTACTAAAGTCTGCGCACGACTCCTCGACCTCGTCATCGGGCCTAATTGGTATGACTGCGCACGGCTGATCTGTTCCTTCCCGTTCATTTCGGTCACATGTTCATCCTCATCCATCCTTCTTTCCCCCAATCTTGGGGTGGGTGGGTAAATGCCTCTGTTACTGCACTGGTCTCTATGTTTTAACTCTTCCCCCTCGGGGTCAGGTGGCAGTATACATCTCGTGTTTATTTTGCAATTCCCCTTCGTCCCGTTGTCCTTCTTGCGGCAAGTTTTTCCTTTGGTTTTGATGTTTTCAAACCAAAGGAAAAACTTGCCGCAAGAAGAACAACGGGACGAAGGGGAATTGCAAAATAAACACGAGATGTATACTGCCACCTGACCCCGAGGGGGAAGAGTTAAAACATAGAGACCAGTGCAGTAACAGAGGCATTTACCCACCCACCCCAAGATTGGGGGAAAGAAGGATGGATGAGGATGAACATGTGACCGAAATGAACGGGAAGGAACAGATCAGCCGTGCGCAGTCATACCAATTAGGCCCGATGACGAGGTCGAGGAGTCGTGCGCAGACTTTAGTACATCTATAAAAATGACTCTCTCACTCCCTGGCGTACTAGCCCTGAGGATGCCGGCAGGTGACGGCGAAAGCTAGGCGCTTTTTTAATAAATTTTATAGTTTTATTACCCTGGTGATCATTTTATTTCTCACCATGAATACTCCCAGGGTTCATATTTTTAATTTTCTTAAACAGATAGATAGATAGATAGATAGATAGATAGATAGATAGATAGATAGATAGATAGATAGATATGTAAAAAAATTATATTAAAGTAGTCAGGTTAATTTAAAACCTCATGTGCAGGATGCAAATTTCAAAACATTAATATATTCACCAAGGCCTAGGAAAATAAAAACCTCTTTGCCTGACATTGGAAAGATAATAAAATAGATGCCAGGCAACCTCTCTGAGGAAGGCCTTCTAGATCAGGTGAGATTACTAAGAAGATACTTATTACAGATCAGAATGGGAAAACATTCAGACTTGCATTTGAGAGGATGAACTTAGCATATGGACAGCAATATATGGAAGAGCTATCCCTTTAAATACCATGATCCGAAACCACTAGAAATATTAGTTTTTTCAACTACAAACAGATCAAACTGGGACAACCATGTAAACTGGCTTTTTGTGAAACTGAAGTTTTTAGTTCATCTTCAAGTTCCTGTATAATGAAGTAGATAAATCTAGAGAAGTTACCAGGACATAGATTGCTGATCTGAGGTTATAGCTAATATATCAATATTTTTCCAAAGATATTTTGAAATCTGCATTTTGTTTCTCAAAAAATTGTTCCATTTGCAGGATCATTCAACATGCAGACAACTCTTCTTCATCGCCACACCTTCTGACGTCATGGCTTTAATGCTTATTCCCATTACAGATTTCATTCATTTGCATATTAATTGAAGAGGACACATTAATGAAATATAAGTGCCAGGATAATGCTAAAGGTAGGGACATCCTGTGCTCACTGAAAATAAGTTTCACAAGTTGGTTTCCTGGAAGAGGCTTTTAGTTTTTACTTCCAAAAATAAACATATTTTTTCCATTAAAATATGGTACTGAAATAGTTTTCTCTCTTCTATGAGTGAGTGTGAATGTGCTTACATAAGCATTACATTTGAAGAGGTTCTTTTGGGCAAAATATCCATCTTCAGCTTCATCTAGCTTTTATCTAGCAGGAAGGGGGGAAATGTCATACGGCTAATAGCACCTCTGAAGATGGAATTTATCCCACATTATAATATGGATTAAAAGTGTTACAAATCATTTTCAGGATGTATTGCTGATGGCTCACAGATGCTATTTAAAGAAGAACAATTCAGTAAGCTAAACACCTATCCATATTTCACATCACATCTAGTTAGGCTCTCTATACTAAAGGGGTGCGTGTGTGGGTGTGAATGTGTGCATGTGGGGGTGTATACATGCATGCATACATACAGAACTGTGACATAGCATTGTTGTGTCACTATTCACAGAACAAAGATAATAATACTTAGACTTCAGCAATCAAGAGCCAATAACCCATGAAAAGACTAATTAAGCAAGAGGGGGGGGTTAATTAAAGCTCAATTCAGCCTTTCTTTTCCCTTCAGTGGGATTAATCTTTTAATGTTCATATGTTTCTCTCCTGCACTCCGCTAGTTATATGAGCATAGCCATCTATCAAAGGACAGTTTGACATTTTCTCATGGCCAAGGGATTCAATGTGTTATTTGTTACCAGCATGCTCCTGGATACATCAAGCCCAGCTCTTGGCTTTTAGAAAGGAGAGTTATTCTAAACCACTTACTCATTTACTCATATGCCAAATTCATGCAGGGAGAGTCTTTTGGCACAATATTTTATTTCTGACTTATTACACATGCCTTTTTTTCATGCCCAGTATTGAAAACAGAAGGTGTACCATTCTAAAAAAGCCCACTCTATTCTCCTTCTCCCGGAAAGCTAATACCAAACATAACAGTAAATGAACTTTTTCAAAAGGTTAAATTTGCTTTCATATAAAACATTTTTCTTACGGGAAACAGAGGCAGAATGTTAAAGTGAAAACTTAAAAGGAATTGTGCATGGGCTCTAAGGACTATATTATTATTTAAAACAAAATAAAAGCAAAAGCTAATGGAAAGTTTAAAAAACAAAATAGACTCAGAACTTTATTTGGATAACAGGATAAGCAGCCCAAGACAGAAATTTTTACTCCTTTGTTAATAATTCTAAAATGCAGTGCTATCTTTACTATTTTAAATGGAATTGAAAAAGTTATTTATTACATTCCCAAGTCCCGGTGATTGGGGAGGGGGCAGTTACACATTGTTAAAAATAGTTAAAAACAAAAAAATGAATAAAGAGCAAAGATGGCAAAAAATGAAAAAAGCACTCCTCTTGGTCAACTTTCATAATTATATTTGTACATTTCTGGAAAGTAGTATCCAGAAAGGTTTGGTTAATGGGGTTCAGTTGAACCTTTAAGTGAATTTTGAGATAATTTTGCATGAATTTGAAGATATATTGTGTGCACATTGTGTGTCCTGACCGAGGGTCATCAGTGAATTTTGGACATTGGGAATTTTTGTTCCTGAGATGCACCTGGTGAGATGGCAGAAGCAGAAGAAAGTTGAGGGAACCAAGCCCTGTAACTACTCTGCCATTTTGCCATCTATAGTCAAACTAGGCTGTTGTTGAATCTATCCCATTCAATTCTCCTCCATCTCTTTCCACCTATCTCTGGGCTATATGGAATGAAGTGGCCTTGATGTGATCTGCACTTTGACCCAAATTGCATCTGTGCTTAGGCCAGGGAGGAGAGGGGGAGAAAATGGTAGATGAGAGTGGATGGGTTTGGATGGTTGGTTGTCCACAGTGATATTTTAGCCTAAACCGCTAGGTGTCTGAAGGCAGGAACAGGTCATCACTGTACAATTTAGAGCAAGGGTGACAGCAAGGATGGTTGAATGTAATCTATGGCTTAGGAGAGGATGGGAGAAGTGGACATCAAGGGGGGAAGACAGAAAGTTCCATCTAGATTGTGAAAATATAGTAGCAAGTTAAATCTATTGATGGGAATGCTGGGGCCAGTGGCTAAAATCTGTCCTACCCTTCAATTCTCAATATTCATCCCCAGGGCCAGTTCTTTAGTTTCATGGAACTCTTGATCTCCAGTTATTATTACTAACTACAGGATTGGCAGCCATCCTTCCATGTACAACTGAGATCTGGGTGGACCTAGAGTTTCTCCCCTTGGAAATATGTCTATTTGGCACCAATCATAAGCCCAGGATGGGGATGAAGAGGTAGGTCAGCAGTTATCATCTATAAAATCTTAATGACTTTCAGAAGCTCTCTGATACACACTAAGTATTGCACTTTAGATCCTGTTGTTATGTCTTGGAAGTTGTAATATAATTTAGGAACATAAAAGATCACCATCACTTTGCCACAACATCACACTATCACAACAGTCATTTTGCCATGGTTAGATAACACTCTCTCCAATTAATTGTATCTAAAAGGGGGATGTGGTGTGATGGACTACAGTGAAGTGGCAGTTTCCCAAGAAGAAAGGAAGTATCACATCTGCACTTTTATCTGCTTATTTTTCCTAAGAATTTGATGGAGAGAAAGGCCAGGAAAAGGGAGATAATTTGTTAGATTGTGCCTACAAAGGGGGAGATGGTGTGATGAACTACAGTGAAGTGGCAGTTTCCTAGGAAAGAGGGAGCCTATTCCCATGAGAAGAGATAATGCAGCTCGGAACTAGATTATAGTCAGAGAAAGAGAGTTAGGATGGCCACTCCCTAGAATCTCGAAAGATATATCCAGTAGGATGAGAGTAGTATAAATTTAATCTAGTGAAATTCTGTTTATACAGTATGAGCAAATAAAAAATTGAATTTGGCTGGATGTCACTTTTGGTCTCAATCTAACACATTCTAAACTTCCTGGTATCCCATATGGTTTTGTCTTAAAGCAGGCAGTGGCAGATGTTTCTCTATCAGGATGCAAAGAGAAAATATCTGCTGCAAACTCCACACAGGCATTGGGAAGGACATCCAGCCAGTAAATGCTCAGCTCCATTCAGTTGACCC